AAGCACATATTAATTCGATTCACCTATGGGGTTAATTCCCTCTTACAAGGTTAGAAAAGAGACTTACCTCGTCTCACAACTTACTTTCCGGTCCATAATTATGCTTTAAACCTTCAACTCGGTGCCCAACAACTCGAAACTAGTCAAATGTTATATAAAATAGTCAATACATGTTCAAAAGTTCATATCCTAACTATTAAAGTGATTTCCCAACCCTAATTGAAGAATTCCTAAATTCACCCCGGGCCCACTTACCCAAATTCCGAAAATATTTGAAGAAAGTTGTTTCCCATAACATCATGAACTCAAATATATGATTTTCACTAAATTCCATAACCATTTTCGTGGTTAAATCCCATTTTTATCAAAAACCTAGGTTTTTTTATTTATCTAAACCCATGATTTCATTAATTTTACATGTTAAATCAACCCATAATCTAGGTATTTAACTTACATTGTGTAGAAATTATTTACCTCAAAGTGTTAGGTGAAAACCCCTCTCTAAGAGCCCCAAATATCGCTCAAGGAATGCAATAAATGAGCTCAAAATGCCTAAGTCCTGACTTAAATTAACTGTTCTGCCTTCTGCAATTTTCACATCTGCGGTCCCGCTTATGCATCACCAAGCCCGCTTCATCGAAACTCCACAGGACCAGCGCTGGCCGCATCCGCAGACGTGTTTCCGCTTTTGCGGTCTCACTTCTGCGGCTTCTCATCGCAGAAGCGGGGTCGCTTCTGTGCAAACCCCTTCGCTTCTATGGGCCATGGCCAAATGCTCCAAGCCATTTCTGTGGCCAAAATCCCGCATCTGCGGGCACGCACCTGTGGCCCAAAGCTCGTAGGTGCGGGCACACCAGAACTGGTGCACCAGCAGCCCTCTTGAGTTTTAACTCAATTCGCGCACCATCCGAATGGCCTCCGGGGCCCCCGAGGTCCCGCCCAAACATACCAACAAGTTCGAAGTCATAAGACTGACTCACTCGCACCCTCAAAACGCGTAAAACAATATCAAAACTAAGAATCACACCCCAACCGAATTGAATCAAAATATGAACATCAAGTTCTTCCAACTAACTCCGAATGCGCCGAAACTTACTTAGACTACTCGGAACGACACCAAATTTTGTGGGCAAGTCTTAAATCACCATATGAAACTATTCCCGGTCTCGAAATCCCAATTTGACCTCGATAACACCAAAACCTACTCCAAACCAAATTTAAAGAACTTTAAAACCTTCAAAGAGCCATCTTTCACTATTAGGCGCTGAAACGCTCCCGGGTCATCCAAAACCCGATCCGAACATACGCCCAAGTCTGAAATCATCATACGAACCTATTTGAACCGTCAAAAACCGACTTAGAGGTCGTTTACTCAAAACGTTGATTGAAGTCAAACTTAGCCTTTTTGGCCAACCTTAAGGAACCAAGTATTTCGATTTCAACCTGAACCCTTCCAAATCCCGAACTGACCATCCCCGCAAGTCATAAAATAATAAAAGTACATATGGGGAGTCGTATTTAAGGGAACGGGGTTCTAGAAAACAAAATGACCGGTCGGGTCGTTACATGTTGCTTCTACTTTGCACTAGGCTGTGAAGTTTGAGTGGAACCATCAGGAGGTGATTATCCACAGAGATGGAAGAAACCTATCTACACCAACAAGACTGTGCCAACTATCGAGAATAGGAGGAAATTGGGAGTAGAGACATTCCACAGTATTGAGCGAATAAACGCAATCGAGAAAGGGCGATGGTGGAGCAACAAGATAGAGAACATACTAATGTGGTTAGGGTAAGAACCAGGTTTTGGTCTTGGTCCTAAGCTTCAAGGGATTACAGAACCAATACGACCACAATATCATGGCTCAACCTTTGGTCTCGGATATGAATACACCGTGCAAGAATATAATGACCGGATACCGCCATGGCGTGACTTCTACTATCTGTTAGAACAACCCATACCGCCACTGCACTAGACATTCTGCCAGACTGATATGATTTGGGGATTCGAGGAAGATGAGGTTTAGGCCGGTATGAGGAAGCTGTTTCTGGATGAGAAAAATATGAACTGCAGTGCAATCTTGGAGGAGGAGGAGGAAGATCTTACCATTCAGACGGTGGAAGATGGAGCTGTTCTCAGGAACTAGACTGCTACACCATCCCGGGCTCACCGAGGACCTGAGTAGTCTTGGCAGAACTAGCATGATTCATCTTAAAATTGTTTTACCATTTAAGACATTTTCAGTGTTATGTTTTGAAATAATTACTCGAGGCACCGAGTCGTACTTGTTTGACGGTTTAATGTTTTTTTAATGCATCATTGCTTTTCGTTTATTTATTATTTTCTTTCTATATTTTTTTCCAGCATAATTATTACATATCCTGATGAACCTACTACTGTGACATGTAATGAGACAACTCAACATAAGGAAAGTGATTCGGAAGATTGGAAAGATGATGTAATACCTGAGGAAATTGTCAAAGAAGTATAGAATTTTGAGAACAAACCAAAGTACAATTTGGAAGAAATTGAGGCAGTTAACTTAGGGGATTCTGAAACAGTCAAAGAAACTCATATTAACATTAATCTATCACCATCAGAGAAGGAAGAGTACATCCGATTTCTAAAGGAATATGAGAATATTTTCGCATGGTCCTACGATGACATGACTGGGTTAAGCACATCCATAATGGCTCACAAGCTACCTACCAACCCTATGTGTCCGCTGATAAAGAAAAAGCTCAAGAAATTCAAGCCAGATATGTATTTAAAGATAAAAGAAGAGGTTACAAAGCAAATCAAAGCCAATGCCCTTCAGGTGGTCGAGTACCCAACTTGGCTAGCCAACATTGCACCGGTTCCGACGAAGGATGGGAAAGTTAAGGTGTGCGTTGACTATCGAGATCTGAATAGAGCAAGCCCTAAGGATGATTTTCCATTGCCCAACATACACATACCGATCGACTACTACGCCAAGCATGAACTCCAATCCTTTGTGGATTGGATATCACCAGATTTGGATGGACGAAGAGGATGCCAAAAAGATAGCCTTCATCACGTCATGAGGAATATACTACTACAAAATTATGCCGTTTGGTTTAAAGAACGCCGGGGCAACCTACATGAGGGCCATGACTACTCTTTTCCACGATATGATACACAAAGAAATAGAGGTATACGCGGATGATGTCATCATTAAGTCTAAGAAGAGTTTGGATCACATAACATACCTGAGGAAGTTTTTCGACAGACTTTGAAAGTACAATTTGAAGTTGAATCCTGCAAAATACGATTTCGGAGTCCCTGTTGGAAAGTTGCTAGGTTTCATCGTCAGTCACCGCGGCATTGAGTTAGACCCGTCAAAAATCAAAGCTATTCAGGACCTGCCACCGCCAAAGAGCAAGAAGGATGTGAAGAGTTTTCTGGGTCGCCTCAATTATATCAGCCATTTTATAGCATAGTCAACGGTAATATATGAGACGATCTTCAAAATGCAGAGGAAATATGCTACGATGAGTTGGACTGAAGAGTGTCAAAAGGCTTTCGATAAAATCAAGGAGTGCCTGTCCAAGCCGCACGTGTTGGTCCCACCAGAGCCCGAGAGACCTCTACTACTATACCTACCTGCGTTGGATGGAGCCTTTGGTTGCGTCTTGGGGCAACATGATGAAACCAGAAGGAAAGAGCAAGAAATATACTATATGAGCAAGAAGTTCATACCTTACGAAGCCTGGTACTCTTTGTTGGAACGTACCTGTTGTGCACTGACATGGATAGCTGATGAGGCTCTACCATTTAAAGCACAATTAGCATCACTATCATTTTCAAATCACATTTTCCAATTAAGCATAACACTTATGGATTTGGTTGGTACTAAAAATTAGGCTCAAGAATGTGAATCTCAACCAAATAACTCCCTCATTTAAAACAATCTCAAGAATGCAATGGAGTTTCAAAATACTCAAGTGACAATAACCAAGCCTCAAGAAGTGACTCAAAAGCACTAGTCTACTACATATGATCAATTTACTCAATTCAGAATATATCAATGTCACCAATCCATCATAATTCATGTGCCCTCACAAGAAAGAAAGTCCCAAAATCACCATATTTACAATAACAACACAAGGGACAAATGCACAAAGATACTCACTCTCAACAAAGAATTTCAAATGTTACAAAATATCATGCCATAAGCTTGCCCTTATTTTAATTCGCCGCCTATTCAAGAACGTTCGGTTGGAGATCCCATAAGGACTTTTTAAGCTTGTAATATAGGCTTAGGGAAGGGTAGGATAAGCATTTGGGATACAGGTGACTACACCTTCCTTGAACACTACTCATATTTGTCTTACTCTTTGCACTTTGCTTATTTTTAAACCACATATCCCTTATTGACATCTAGTTACCAACATAGAACCTCCTTAAAATACCTCTCTAATTTTCTCAAGACTCTATTTTTTTTAATACAACTATTTTCTTTTAGAACTTGAGTATCTTCATATAAACAACTTTGAGGTATTTGCTTCTACGCACAATGTACATCTTCACCATTTTCCAATTAACACCAACACCCCCAACTTAGGCTTTTAGCCTCAGTCTTAATATTCAAGAAGGGACGAGTTCAAAAGAGGAAATTATTTCACAAAAGGGTAAATTTTTGTAATGTAGTAGCCAAATGAAAGGTTAAAGGCTCAAGTTGGGTTAACTAGTGATAATATTTATTCAATGGTAGGCTAGAAAGGCTAAAAAGACTTTTTCAAAGATCACAAAGAATGCCTAAAGTCATCCCTCCGACCAAACATAATTATCATTAACATTGAAAGACTAACCGGGCAAGTTCTAGATGATAAAAGTAAACACAAAAATTATTTTTACCAAAAACTAACACACATGGTACATGAACTAATCAAGACGGATCAATTTCACTTCTTAATGCAAAGAGTCACAAAATGAGCCAAAGAGGTTATCACAAAAGTTATTCTTCCCCATGCAACTTATTTTTTTAATTTACAACCAAAAATCGGAGGGGTATTCTTAATTCACACTTCACATACAAGAGACTAATTCTATTAGTACCAAACAATCCAAAAGTCTCCACATAACAAAAATAAAACTAATTTCCGTAAGAAAGTCGTCACGCCATCCATCATAGGGAAAAGTCACCCGGTTCAACACAAAAATATTCCTCGGGAAAGAACCGTAGCATAAAGAAAACCCAAGGAAATTTATTAAAAAGTATATTACTACTAAAGAGATAAAAATAATATAAGTTAAAAACTACTAAAGAAAATAAAATAAACACTAAAGGAATAAAAATAAAATAACAAAAACCTACTAAAGAAAATTAAAATAACAAAAGCAACTACTACTAAAGGAATAAAAATAACATAATCTAAAAACTACTAAAGAAAATAAATAAAGAAAGAAAATAAAAAAGAATAACAAAAGCGACTAATCTGCAAATGTATCACCAATCACAAACTACGCCCGACAAAGGCACATGATAAACAATAGTAGAACAAGCCCGGCAAAGGCACACAATATCCATACAAAAGCATAAGCCCGGCAAGGGCACGAGTCAAGCATTTATGTACAAATAAAGTATACTCCCTAAAGCCACCCCCAACTAAAAACACCCTAGTGTCCTTACTGCACAATATCAAGATAAATTAAGAGTAGTTTGAGGGTTTCCTTGAGATCTGCATCAGACTAGCAGACTGTGGGAAAAAGCTAATCACTGCCGTGTAGAGTTCTCAGCCTCATCATCATCTGTAGCATCAGTATCAATATTAGCAACATTCGACAAGAAGGAATACTCTTCACTATCATCTTTGTCCTCGACCGGTATCTTCTTGTTCGGCTGCCCCCATTTGAAGATGGCCTTGATGCCTCTCCACATCTTTATCATGAACTTGCCCTTCTTGTTATTTATCTCTTTATCTTTGTTGAAGTCTTCCTGAAGGTTTACATATGCCTTGGCCATGTTGCCATAGGCTGCCACGAGCCTACTAACAGAAGCTGCCAACTTCTCATGCGACTCTCCTTGCTTGTTCTGGTTCTCTAGGCAGGTCTTCATTTTTTTTCTGGTAAAATACTTGGGCATAGGCTAGGAGTGTGAGGGCCCACTAGTGAGCTGTGACACTAAGTCACGAATGGAGGCAAGCTAGGAATTTAGCATCCCAAATGGTCCCTCGGCTTGAGTAGCTTGTGAGGAGGACCCCTCACCTACAACAATCTCTATTTTCCTTTTCTTGCTCTTTACCACATTGCATGTTCCTGTCACTTTCAATGGGTAAAAGGGCTTGTCCACCGGTATCAAATGGTCTCCATTCCATTCCTCAACCTGCGCACGCCTGCACAACTCTGTAATCAATGATGCAAATATCAATGTCGAGCCACCTTGAAGCACATACTCCTTCAACTCCTGAACGATGTAATGACCAATATTCACTGGAATTCCATCAAGGGTGCAAGCATTTATAAGGGCCCTAGTATATGTAACATCAGACACATTCCCATAAGTAGACACTCTGCTCGCAACGATATACAACCATATTTTTGCTTCAACTGTGAAATCACCACATTTGATGCCTTTTTTGTTTTTAGCCCAAGTCACTGTTTGACCTGTAGGAAAAAGCTTTGAGACTAGCAAATCACCATTGTCACATGTATCTCTTTCTCGCATTGGCTCGAGCGGATGATTTTGAAGCCCATAGACATCATTTATCTCTTCAACTCCAAATTTCACAATCTTGCCCCTTATTGTAAGTTCATGGTTTTGGAAATATGTACGCTTTAAGTTGGCGTAAAATTCCCTAACCCATTCTTCATTGGCATTGCATGGAGTGGGGATGAAGCAGGTCCAGCCGTTTGAAACTAGCCGGCCACGGAAATCCGGAAGGAGCTCGGCCACTTTGTCATCGGCAATTCCTTTCTCAAGTTTGAGCTTCTTCATGAGGAAATCATCATAATACCTGTTTTGGCACTCGAAAGACATGAATCTGTTAGTATCATAGTTCAAATCCTCAGCCATTTCTTCAATTTCGTGGTCAAGCGCCGCATTTTCGTTCATGTTCGAGTCCATTTTAAGCTCAAAGTACCTTCAAAAATTAAAACAAAAGTTAGTCGGTCATTAGAATCATGTTAAGAAATTCAAAACAATGCAATTAGGCCAAAGAATCAAGTCAAACGAGCCCAACAAGCCAAAGTTGCAGAGCTACTATTTTTTGCAAACACTGCCCAGTCACCGCACCTGCGGAAAACCATCGCAGGTGCTGGCCTCGCTTCTGCGGAATTTCATTCGCTTGTGCGAACTTTCCCAGCTGACCAAAAATGGCACCTGCAAAAAATACATAGCAGGTGCGAGGCCGTATCTACGGCATTTTTCCAGCTTCTGCGGTGTTCATCAGGGGTTTAAAAAAATCCCGAGAAACTGCTGAATCTTTTCACTTCTAAACATAATTTTAGCACAAAATTTATACTCAAAACTTCTAAATTAGTGCACTAGATGATTATACGACTTGATTAAACCTGATTTTAAGGCACTTCGCAACCAAATTTCTCTTGGACAAATTATCGAACATTTAACGAGCAAAGAGAAGTCATATTTCTTTAAACAAATTAGGTACTCAGAATTCCCCACATGTTTTTCAGCAACAACAGCACACACGACTACACTCAACCAATTTCCTCACCCCTAATATTAACACTAATCAGAAGGAAATGAAAAATTAGGGGATACAACCATGAAAAATCAGAGATGAAGAAGAAGGAAAAAATAAAAGTAGAAGAGAAATGTAGAATAGAGAGCTGAAGATGATACCTGTGTTACCTGTGTGTGAGAGCAAAAGAGTGCATGAGCAGTATTTATGTGAGAGATGAGAGGGAGTTTTGAGTTTGGGGGAAAAAAGGTTAGAGTATTACCTGTAAGAGAGGCCTTTTTCTTGAAACTCACCAGACGCGTCGCATCTGTGAGGGTTAAACCACTTTTGCGCCTGTGCTTTTGCGGTTAATGAACCACTTTTGCGAAAGAACCACATCAGCGCTCCATTTTGCGCTTCTGCGAGGCTACATCTGCGTTTAAAGTTTTGTAGATACGGTTGCACCAGATTTCTCAATGACAGAACTGGCCAGCCATTGTTTTTGTTCACTCCAACACTTCAAATTCCTCAATTCAATTCCAAAAAATATGAAACTTGGCAGATTAGTTAAAAATAATATACTAAGCTATTCTAAAAAAGAAAATTTCAAAAATGAACTCAAAATTTGAAAAACGATGGGTGTGTGCTTGGCCAATGTGCGATCACATTTTTGGTTGCATAACCATTATGCGGTCCGCAGAATTGGCATTCCACCACATTTTTGAGTGACCAAAACTTATGAACTTCTGACTCATTCTGCGACCAATATGTGGTCCGCATTACCAATATGCGATCGCATTATTTTTGCCGCAGAAAAGCAAGTTTAGCCACTTTTTCTTCACGTTCCCTGCACTCTAAAACACACACACACTAAAATGTTCAACAAAAACAGCTAACCTACAAAAAATAAAAATTTAACTACAATATTTGAAAACGATGGGTTGCCTCCCACCAAGCGCCGCATTTAACGTCGTGGCACAACGCGAATCAACTTTACCACTTTTCTCGCCACTTGGAAGATATGAACTGGGCACCCAACTTGGAATCAAGTTTGTGATCACGAGCAACGGGGTGTGGTAAGTAGATGATCAAGCCAAATGCCATTTGCTTCATTTTGCACTTCTTGGCTTTCATGTGAGGAATGTCATTTTGCCTTCTTGAACTTTCAAATTGTAAAATGTATGGCCTTTGCCTTTCCTCTTTGCAATCCCTCATTGATTCGTGTAGTTCAATTCCCATAT